AAATATATATATATGTATTTTAAACAATATATAATTATATTGTACAATATTATTGTAATATATAATATATTTTTTAAACAATTGCCCTCTGAGGATAAGTGGCTCGGTTAATGGATGGATATTATTGTTTGTGAGTGCCAAAAGATTATTCTATCTATCTAAAGTTAAAACAAAATAAAAAAACAACGATAGAGAAAAACTTCACACGAAACAAATACACCATATAAAAAGTAAAACTCATACTAAAACAAAACTAAAATGAAGCATTTTTGAACAAACTAAGAACTAATAAAACTAAAAAACGTCCTCTAAAAGCAATTTAAAGGAAGTGAATTTCAAAAAACAAGTTAAAACAAAATAATAAGTAACTATCATAAAAGTCCATGCATTTTCGAATCCACTTATGAAAACCAAGCCACACTTCCCCTTTACAGTCTTTTTTTTTTTTTTTTACATGCTCCTTCTTTGGCTCCATTTTCTAGAATGGGCCACCTTTGCGCTAGGCCCAGGCCATGGCATCCAGCTCAAGTCCGGTCGCCTCCTCGTCCCCGCCTACGCCTACCACATCGAGTGCAAGCAGTGCTTCGGAAAGCTGTGCCAGACGTCCCCGCGCTCCTTCTGCTTCCACAGCGACACCCATGGGCGAACCTGGTGTTTCGGGGAGACCGTCCCGGGCCCCGAGACCGTGGAGTGCCAGGTGGTGTCGGTGGATGAGGAGGACGGGACCAACTTCTTGTACTGCAATGCGCGCAGCAGGCTGGGCTTCAGGGTTCAGGCCCTGAGTCTGGATGACGGGGCCACCTTCCAGGAGGGTCAGCTGGTGCAGCGGTTGGTGGAGCCTCGGAATGGTTGTCACGGTAGCGTGGTGGGCTTCCCGGCTCCGCTACATTTACATCTTGATCTACGCTTACGGCAACTCACCCAGTCCTCCAGACATAATTTGACCTCTCTCGTCCCATCACAAAAAACAACCTCGCCAGATTTCCTCTCCCCTACATGGGTGGTATACTCCCACCCAACATGGACCAGCGCACGGAAGGACCTAGGTGTCTTCCTGAGTCTTTACCCCCGCGACCCCGACAGCTGGCGCGGGCCCTGGGTGATCTACGAGGGTCCGTGCGCCTACTCCGACTTGGCGTACGTGGAGCTGCCCCCGTCGTACGGCTCTCCTCCCGCCGTGGCCTTCGCCTGCCTGCTGGAGTGCGGCGCCAGGACTGCCTACGACGAGATCTGTTTCTGCATCTTCACGCTCTACGAGCTCATCGATAACCTCCCGCCAGGCAAGACACTTGTACATCATGATGATAACAAACAGCAAAGGCATGAGGCCAAAGCAGGCGGATGTGAAGCCCTACACGTGAAGAAGAGGAGGAGGAAGCTTGGTGACTTTTGTGCTCTGTCTTAAATTGAGTTTATATCCCTTGTCCAATCATATGTCGTACAATGTTCTTTTATTTAACCTGTCCTCGGCTATTGGTTAAAAAGGTCTAAAGGAATTTTGGCGCTCTCTGGTGGAAGTTTGGTGTTTTTTTTTTGTTTGTTTTAATTCATTGAAGGCGTTAAATAGGGTTATAATAGTTTCGGATTTTTAATTATAGTTAGTTTTTCATTTGTTTTGAATTGTATTTGAATTCAATTAGTTTTAAATATTTTTAGAGTGTGTGTGTGTGTGTGTTATTTTTTATTGTTATTTTTTTCAAATGATTGATTGATGTTCTACTTCCTGTACGTCCGTACAGCAATGCCAAAATAAATACATTTAAAATGACCCACGAAAGCCCATTTATGACATTGACAAAAGCATTTTTGCTGCAATTACCGGTCGTTTTGCTTGGGTCTATAAATGTAATTTCAGGTAGTTTTCGTTTTTAAAAAAGCATTTTCGTTTTAATTTTATGACTTTAACGAAAAAGCTTTTAAAATTTTAGTTGTAGTTATTTTGTTTGGTTTCGTTACTTATAATAATCTTGCTACAGTGAACGAAGAGTATGTTTTACTTCTTTCCTGATGCAGCTACTAAAAGCTGGTGTAGTTTCTGTTGCCGTTCCAATTAGCCTGTATTCTCTAATACGATTTATTGTGTGTGAATGCCAAAACGTTACTTCAATGACTTCATACCGTTTGTTTGTATTGACTAAAAAAACTACTGAATACAGTCGTTAATGTGACATGGTTTCATAATTGTGCACATGCTAGTTGTATGTTGATGATACTTGCTGATTATTCTTTGTTTTGTTCCAGACCACAGGAAATAAATCAATAAAAATGGAAGAGCAGTCTCCATATTAGAGCTTAGCTGCTATATTGTTGCATCAATAGGCAATTATGGACCCTTATTTGGGGCCCCCGGGCCTTGATGGATTTTCGCTTTTTGTGGCTTACGTGCCTGTCAGGTGTCTTCAACTGGTGAGTGGTTTCAATTGATTTTAGTTTCATCATACAGTGGTTAACTTGGCTTTATACTCGAATAGGCACGTTCAAATGTTATTTGAAACACCGCTAGTCCATTCAGTTAAATTGTTATGATGGTGACAAATTGAATCATTCTCCATTCCAGGAATAGATGTTTTGGTTCAATTTTGCCCACCTCTTTAAAAAGACAGAGGCAACATCAATTATAAAGAGAATTGCTGGAAACTTTTAAGAATAAAAAACAAAGAACACACGCGCTTCAATCCTTCCTAGAATTGTGCAAACTCAAGACTATCAACAGACTTTCCATCCGAGGCCACTTCCCTGTTGACCGACTTCTTTGGCCTTAGATGTCTTCATATTGCAATGTCAGCGTGTTTAGCAAATTGGGTCCAAGTGTGTGTGCCTGGGTGTGTGACGTGTGTATCCTGCCTGTTTATATAAGTGTGTGTGGTCTTGATGTGTACTGTATTTCCCTGCACTGTTGTCAAGTCAACTTGAATTTTGTGTACTTACCACCGTGCACTGATGTTGGTTATGGAAATGTGATTCATTTTAACCAGTACTCTACTATCATACAGTAAGCCTGCAAGACTGGATATGTGTTGCAGAAATCTGTTATTCGATTTTGTGAAAAAGATTTGAGATATCTAACTACATTATTCCTCTGCACCATTATCACTTCGCCTGGGACAAATGACGTCACTGTCATCCATGTTTCATTACAGATATCTTGAGGTTATTGGCAGATATGTACTACGTGATTTTCAGTTGGTTGCCTGCGACAACATAGTAGCTATCTCCAAGTGTCAGCCGATATGTGTGTACAGTATGTACATGTGTATCTACAAATTGATTTTGACTAGTCACAGTTCCAGTTAAAGATATCTTTAATTTACATCACATAGATGTCCCATTTCAGATATCTTAAATCAACTTCTAAGGCGAAGTGACGTAGGTAACTGTCACTGAAATTGAGTCACAACTTCAGTTACCGATACTGATCAAATCTAGTCCTTTTGACTAGTTATGATGTCTAGTAAAAAAGGAGATTTGCTGTAATACTGGTCATTTTTTTTTACAGAGGACAAAGAATAAATGCCTGTGAGAATTGTGGTAATGCCTGGCTACCTGTCTTGCTCCAGTTTGCGCTGAAATGCCTGTTGTCCAAAGAGATGTAACACCTGACTGTTGATGCTAAGAGTTAGCTTGTTAGTGGTGTTTTCCATTGTGTTAGCCTTAAATCAGCAGGGGGTTTATGAAGACCAAGTTGTTTGAAGACCAAGTTGTTTGGTTGTGTGTAATGTGTCATTCTCATTGCTTCATGGTTAGTTTGACAGGACATGTTAATTAACTGTAAGTGGCATTAAACAGTCTGAAACCTCTTTTTTGAAGAATGTTTCACTAGCTACCAAATGGCTGCGACTGTGGTGTTGAGTTAGATCTCAAGTTTACGCTTGCCATCTATAGCAAAAATAAAAAACAAACAAAAAAATGCCCGAATGACAGCTCACAAACAAATTAAAGAAAAAAAGGGGGGAAAAAATAACAAGAACCACAGTTTCATCAATTGTGAAGACAATATTGTTTATGATTGCTGTTTAACTAATCTGGCGAAGCCACTGGCTGACATGTTAAGGACAAAACCTGATAAACCAGAGCCGTGTTATTGGATTTGGAGAAAGTACAACAATAAGCAGTTTCCGCAAGTCAGGAATCTAGACATCCTCTCCCCCACCATTTCCCCTTCCCACCTCCTTCATTATAAAGCAGCACTCTAGACAGGAGGTCACTCATTCCCGTTTGCCTGCATTTGTGCTTTTTCTCCAGCATCTGCGGTGGACCTGAGCACACCATGATTTTGGGGGTGCTCTTGGCCGTGGTTGGACTCAGCGGGGTCACAACTGGGAGCCCCATTGTGACCGTCCCGCCTAACGCTGCATCAGAGAATTCTGAGAAGGTGAGAGGGACTCTATCATGCTTCACAACAAATTAATGATCATAAGGGTGAATGTGGTATTTAAAAATATATTTTTTGAAAAATGGACGCATTCAGTTTTTACAGACTATGTATTTGTAGCAGTCATCACGTTATTGAATCCATTCTGTACATAATACAAAAACATTGGCCAAAACAGTATAAATATTCAGCATTTTTTCTTCTAAATCCTTCATAGGGCACTCATTTCAATACTTAATATTATGCAGTTGTTTTCGTAAGTTTATCCACCCTGAAAGAATTTGTGAAATATTGTCAATTTGGGGGAAAATATTTCATTTTATTTCTTCATTTGTTTAACCTCTGTTGGTAACTGATTCTCATTTGAACGGGAACCATCTCAATATTTTCTTCATTGCTGTGTTTTGTTTTGTTTTTAGTGATTGTGCAAAAAAAAAAAAAAAAATCCCCTTAAAATTAAAATCACTCAAGTTTTAGTTTAAGAATGGTACATATCTTAAAAATTCTCACAGGGAATGTAAACGTATGAGCACAACTACACAATGTAACATAATATATTTTATATAGTAATTAAATCACTAAAAAGAAATTGATTTGAATATTTTTCTAATTCTTCGCTTTTTCCAATGAATATTCATATGCTTGTTTGCCCAAGGAAGGATTGAAGGCTGTTCATGATGTACATATCAAGATTCTAATAATAAATTAAGTTTCCTCAGACTAGGTGGGAGATGGGTCCACTTACAAAATCGACAGTGTAAAAGTTTGAGTCCACGTGATTGAATTTTAAAGCTCGACCGTGATGAGGAATCAGCTCTTCCATTTCTTCTTAGTAGGCAACTGGCCCGTAGCCTCCAAGTACTTGTGGATGAGTTCTTCCTGTGTGCTTGGTAGACACGGCTGATATCTGCTGTAGTCCATTGTGTACTCGCCCTTGCCCTTATTGCGACACACAGACAAACAGAGACATTATGTTAAGACAAATCAGCATTATCTTTTAGGTCATGGCCACACCAATTTTGGCATTCATGGAAGCTCCCATAAAATAAAACTTTGCATTCCCTCGCAATGACCTGATTTTTTTTTGGGGGGGGGGGGGGGGGGAGCAACACAAACACCCTTCTTACATTTAAATACTGACCCTGTATGAACGTTGGTCGTGTGTGATTTTATTCATTAATTTTAATCTTATTTTGTTCTATCTTGTTTTATTGTATGTCCTGCATTTATTTGTTTGATGCTATTTGTACTTTATTTTACCTATCCATTGATGTACAGCACTTTGGTCAACTCTGGCGTTTCGAAATGTGATTCATAAATACATTGGATTGGATGGTTAGTTATCTTTTAAGTATAAATAGTGCCTTGAGATAAGAGTTGAATTTGTTTGTGCCACGCTTGTAACTCAAAAAGCTTAGTCAAATCATCTTTCCCCATTGAAATGAATGGAAATGCCGTTAATCTGTTCCAGCCTTCCCTCTCAAAAGCAAAGATTTTGCATTTTGCAATAAGGCAAAGAGCACTCTTAACATTGTCCTTTATAAAAATATATAGTAATAACAGCATTCATTAAAATGTCAAGAATGAAGCAGTTCTTGCCACATTTTTGCTACAATTTAATGGACATTGTGCTGCTCCTTCTGGTGTGTGCACCTAGGCCACCCAGGGGCAGCATAATACAGACATAAAGCCTGTCCAAACTCCTCAGTAAGGTGCAGTAACATTACCGGTAGTCGTTCTTTGCAGAGGACAAAGAACATATCGTTGTCGCCTCTATGACAAACATGGCTGAATCGTGGACCTTCCCATTAACGTAAATTTTAAATTTAAAAATGATAAAAATCGACATCTCATTTTCACAGGACTGCAACGATTTGTCTGCACCACTGAATTCATACTATGTCATTCAGTTTTTTTCTTCATGGTTGCCGTTGTGCAAGTAAGGCAGACAGGGTTTACGCAAGACAAGTTTTCTTACTTCAGTGCAAGAGCGTAGCTCTGTGGCATAGCCAAACATGTCGTTTAGTGGAATCTGTCAGAAGCAAACACAATCAGTTAAATCCAATAAGATGACGGCACTGAGTACAATGAGTGTTCCCGTGCTTTGTGAAGAGCTTCGACTCACATCAGCGTACAGTGTGAAGAATCCTTCAGCTCCATCTTGGCCGGTAATAACGCCGTGGCGGCGGTTCACCCCTGCAATCACCACGCCTTGAAATTCCTGAGGCGCCACGATTTCCACCGACATGATAGGTTCCAAGATGGTGCTGTTGGCCTTCTCCATAGCTGTGGAGAACGACATGGATGGAATGAATGGGACGCTACTTTCGATCGGGATGAAAATCACCTTCACCTTGTTTTAGAGCGCCCTCCCCTGCCCGGATAAAAGAGATTTCATTGGAATCCACCATGTGATGCGCTCCATCCTCCAGAAGGAATCGCACTCCGGAGATCTTGTGGCCACTTAGGGGTCCCTTCTCGCAGGCCTCCCTGAAGCCCTGCAGTATGATGTGAGGGATTTAAACGAGGGAGAATGACAACGGGACTAGTGAAGCTAAAGAAGCTAGCGCAAACCTTTTCTACGGCCGGCACAAGCTGCTTTGGAACGTTAGTTCCCACAGTCAGGTCTTCAAACTCCAGCTTGGTGTAATGTTCCGGCTCCAGAGGTTCAAGGACACCGATAACTTTTCCATACTGACCAGAACCTCCACTCTGCTTCTTGTGAGTGAAGTCAAACCTACAGAGTGGAGCAAGTGACAATTTAGGGAATTTGCAATGACCTAAAAAAAGGACTGACCAAATTTGAAAAATAATCTCATTGCCCCCTCCCCCCTTAAAATCATTTAATATCTGACTTTTTTTTCAAGATCCCCTTTCCATGTATCTTTTAACAAAAACAAGGAATAAATTAATCTGTGTTACAACAATAAAAAAAAAAGGTTTATTATACATTCATGTTTTGGTTTCATAGGTGAGGCTTACGCAAAAAGAAAAGTTTATTACTCTAGAGCTGTTAACCCTAATAAAATGGGGATTAGATCAAAGAAAAAAAATCTCCATTATAACTAATAATGGTGGTAGCCCCCCCTACACACACACACACACACACACACACACACACACACACACACACACACACACACACACACACACAGTCACTCACAAATCTGCAAATGTGGTTGTTACTTGTACTATATTTTTATTCTTGTGAATGTGGTTGTCTGCTGTGATTATTTTGATCAAAGCGTCCATCTTTCAGTATTTTCAAAATTCATATATTTAATGCAGATGCTGCAATCAAATTTGCAAAATTTCATTTCAACATTTCCGCTGGCCTATGAGCGAGCTGGGATGGAGGTTTGCGCTATCTGCCTTGCAACGTAAGATCACACAAACGGCACCAACAAAAGATACAAGAGCACTGTCTCTTTAAATGAAGGTGGTTCGCTGGTCAAACAGGAAGTAAGACGCAAGTCTTCTACTTTCATGAGGACCGCTGACTGAACAACAACAGACGACTCAGGCAAGAAGCGCATTAAACTAACTTTTCTTAAGTTAGGTCAGAATTGTGCAAGATTATTTAGGGCTAACTTGTTTGTACTAGAGGTCATACCCTCTCTGGTTTTGTTTTGTTTTGTTTTTTTTTTCCATCCAATCCACCTTATCAAAAGACAAACTAGCCCCGCCCTGTTTACACCTGCAATACGCAAAGTCCAAGGAGCCTCCGTACACCCTTTGGACTCAACCTTTCCCTGCTTTCTTGGTGTAGCCAACTGCAGTGGTTGTAGTCGAGGAGGCAAGAGAGGAGGTGATGGAGACCGGAGAGCTCAACCCGAATCACTACCCTGCTCAGAGGGCAGCCAAGGTGGTCCAGCATTACCTGAATACCCTACACGGCTCACCATACAAAGTCTTTGGACTGCAGAAGGTCTTTCGGGCCTATGCAGAGGCAAGTTAGTCTAAAAGTCATAAGCTTGTGTGTGTGTGTGTGTGTGGCCTAAACTGATGAATGTTTTTCCTTCTAGGATGTGCCTGGCTCTGGGAGAAAATATCAGCTAGAGCTCTCTGTGCAGGAGATGGTTAAGAAAGTAAGACATGGTTTTTAACAGTGTTTGTGTGAGAGTCAGTTGCCTAGTGTGTGGGTCTGTGTCGCTGGCTGTAATTTCTTCGCAAGTGCCTAATTCAGTCACTTTCAGCCTCATCGTTCGATGTGTGGCGAGCCTTACATATGCTCGTAATAGTATTACTTCATTAACATGAAATATTAGTTTTATAATCTTTTTTTTTTTTAAACAAAGCGGCAGATACTCAAAGACGCTTAACGGTAGAGGGTTAAAAACAAATGGAAACAGATAAATATATATTTTGAAAACAATAAATATATTTTTTAATGAAATGATGACTTTTCTGGCAATATTTTACCTTTCCCTTATAACTCATTTTGTAAAACTAATAATATTTTAACATATATTGTTTTAATATTTTTGAAATTAATACGGTATTTGGTTTCCTGGTAAGAAAAAATTTTCTCTTCTAATATTGGGACGATTTTCATGAAAATAAGTATTTTCCTTGGATTGTAACTTTATTCTCATGTGATCAAAACTATTTACTTAGGATAGAACAACTATTCACATCTTCCCATAGGCTCACCACCTGTGGGAAGGGCCAAAGGGGTCGGGCGAATAAAGAGCTGAGAAATACTATGTTAGCCTTGTAATATTACAATTTAACGAGAACCTCTGTTGTGTTACAATTTTGTTCAGATACAATAACATTTTACCTCATAAGAATATAATATTTGGCTCAGTTGCAAGCAAGTTTGATAGATCTTCCCCCTATTTCACTCTATTACGCCTTATATCCTGTCCACACGCTTGTCCATTCTACCACAGACCACAGCAAACTGCGAGGCGGAGGTTATATTCCCTCGCAAGGAGGACCACCCTCCACTGCAGGTCCATGTTTCATCACACGATGACCTCTTGAACAACAACGTGAGCCTTCAAGAAGAGACCTTATTATACCAGCAATACAAAAGGAACCACAGCCTGCTATTCGCACAAAACCTACCCGGTATGTGACCCCTTATTTGCAATCTAAAAAAAAAAAAAAAAAAAAATGGGTGAAAAACAAAATACATAATCGTTTGTGTGAAGTCATGTCAGTTTGTGCCCGTATGCGTTTGTTATTTTAGCTATTGAGCCTCAGGTGAAGTTGGTTTGTTAATTTAACTACTGAATACTTGTATTTATTGAACATGCGTACATAGCTGTGCTCATGATGGAAGCATGGTGTTGATGCTTTATGATCCTCTCTGTTTTCAGTGCTCTGCTGCCATCATGTGGCTCATATGAGCAATTATTGACCTATTTTGGGAGCGTTGTCAAATTTTCGCTTATCGCATAGTAGGCCTTGGTCCTGGTAAAGCGAGACTTAGCAGAGGTTTGAAGTAAATTACTCATGTTACTATAAATACAAAGTATGGTTGAAGAGGAAAAAAGTCCAAGCTTGTCAAGTAATTCTTTGTGAATGTAAAGAATTTTGAAAAATATATGGCCTGTTCCATAACATAAGATACAGTAAATAATAGCACAAGTTACATATTATGCATCACTGAATACTGGCTAAGGTACTACATTTCTCTCAAGTTATCTTTATTTCATCGATCAATACGGCTTTCAGAAATAAAACACTTTCTATTGTAAAAAAAAAAAAAATACGCCTTGAAAGTACCTTATGACCAACATTAAAACAGCAGCAAAAAAAATTTAAAAAATGTAGGTTTTATTCCTATAACGTATATTTAACATGACTAATTCAATGTAACTACTGCTAACACCACACTTTGAGAATCACTCCTCCTCACAAACATGCTGTCATGTACAAGTAAAAACAAAAATGCGATACTAATACTGTAAATGTGTAGCGAGTTGCCAAATGTAACAGAGCGTATGAACCAGAAGATGTACTGTTTTTTTATCCCCATCATCCTCAGACAGTAACGGTCACATTGAGCCTGAGCACATTCCTTTCTGGCACCTTGGCGCCGTAGCGTCCAGCTTTGTCATGCTCAGCGAATCCACTGAAGACACTTTGTACAACATGGCTCAAGTAGCCAACATCACGCAGCTGGTAGGCTATTCACTTGGCTGAACGAAGCACCTAAAAATGCACTAGTTTGACTAAACAACTATATTCTATTGTGTCCTGCAGGCAAGTAATGACGACCCACTGAAGTTTGAATATGACGTATTGCTGCATGAAATGGTGTCACAGGTACTCTCGCCTTATAATACTATTTCTGCAAATAGTGGCCAAGGATGTTTACAAATGCTCCAGTGAGAGTTGGAGATCCCGGCTTGGAGAAGCCAACATCACCACATAATCTGCAAAAAGCAGAGATGCAATCCTGCGGCCACCAAACCGGACCCCGTCAATGCCTCTGCTGCGCTTAGAAATTCTGTCCATAAAGGTTATGACAAAGGCAGCCTTGGTGGAGTCCAAGACTCACTGGAAATGAATCCATCCAAAATAAATATACTAGCAATGGGCATTTTAATATTAATGGTGACCTTTACAAAGCAAAATCAGTCAGACGACGACTTGTTCCACCCCCGCCCCCTTCACTCATGAGCCATATTGTGCCTTGACAAAGATCACAATGCTTTTTTTTTTTTAATTGACACTGTCAGAGAGGTATTGTCGTTTATTATTTTGGTTGTGGTAGTAAATAGAGTATGTTCATTTTATGTGCCCAAAAATTAGAAACAGCACATTATGATGCAGTGCACTTCTACACTACTGCAGACTATAGTATCACTGCACTTCAGCATTATTGTCTCTGTAAAGGCAAGCTACATCAGAATGTGCGGAATATTTGTATTTAAATAGGTACTTAAAGTGGTTTTATTTACTGCTGTTACAGGAGATAATTGCGTGGAAGATGCTGGTCACCTGGTCTCCTTCAGAGGGAGTTAAAGTCCTGAAGATGGAGAAGCGAGAATACTCTGTAACTAACCTAAAAACTACACTCTTGTAAAAGGCACGTTAATCCTCCAACTTGAGTAATGGAGTGAGGCTGGGAGTACTAAGCAACGTTAACAAATACAGTACATATTAAAAAAAAAAAAAAATCAATCCAAAAACACTTTGTTGCCTCCTATTTGCCGATTTGTGTGTGTGTGTGTGTGTGTGTGTGTGTGTGTGTGTGTGTGTGTGTGTGTCTGTGTCTGTGTCTGTTGGGGCTCAGCACTTACGGCACGGCAGCAGTGATGGTCTCTCTGAAAGCCACTTTGGGTTTTCCCATCACACAGGGGCAGTTATACTCTCTCTCCATCCTCTGGAAGGACAAAAACCAAGACAGATTTAAAACTCTTCCCTCCTTCCACACGGGAAAAACAGAAATTAAAATCCATGTGAAAACTAAAGCTGCAAGCAGTGATGAATGGACCCTTGCGCGCCCCTTTGTCATGTCGACTCCTTAAAACGACTGTCGAATTTTGAGGCTGTCAAGAGAAACATTTTAACGCTTTAGTAGACAAGGGACAGACCAAGACCCAACCAACCACCGTGTCAACAGGCAGTTATCTCCCTCATACAATTGCCGCCGCACCCACCACAGTCATCTTGCCTTGTCTCAACGTGATAACACAATGTCAGAGACAGAGGAACAAGGTCTACTTTCTTATCCTTGCACTAAATCCAAAATATTTTATGAGGTTATCACTAACATGAATACATTTGTAAGTTCAAAGGCACGCATTTTTCCAACAGAAGGCATTCTCCATACGTCACCCATTTGTTTTGGACACTGATTCCCAGCCATGTAAGATCAATTTGATGGGGTGCAATGACGTATTTTGTTTTATTTTTTCATGTCAAATAAGTGCATCAGCTTAGTAAAGGTTGGGAAACACTGGTTGAGGGTATCTGCTTCTGATTGTAGCGCAGGAGTTTGTCAATGTACAAGTCCTTAGAAATGGTTGCCTCAAACCAAAATGGCCGACTTCCTGTTCAACTAAAAAAAACAAAAAGAAAAAGAAAAAAGTGCTGTGACGCCATCTTGTGGCATCATTGTGACAAGGAACTCCATACACACGAGCTACCGGTCGATTGCGATCGACGTATTGGGGACCGCTGTCTTAAGGCAAGTCTAAATGCAATTCTATAGGCAATGATACACCTTTTAGAGGGGTGTCAATTACTTACAGTCTTGAGTGAACTGTACCTGGGAGTAGATCTCGAGATGCAGTTCGCCCATGCCCGAGATGATGGTCTCTTTGTTTTCAGTGTCGAAGTGAACCCGGAAGGTCGGATCTTCCCGGGTGAAGCGGTTAATGCCTTTCGAGAATTTATCCAGGTCGTTCTGCTCCAAAAGACAACTGTGTTAAGAGATCATTCCGTGTAGCGTGGTCACTTGAATGTATTCAATCTACCTTGTTGGTTGGTTTCATGGACATAGAAATGACAGGATCTGGGATGTGAATCGATTCCTGTCGGTGAGAACGTAACAAATCTTATTCAAAATCTAACAATAGTGCGTTCCACTGCTATAACACGGTTCATTGCTCATACCTTGCTATAATGCAGTTTTTTTTAAGTGACCTTTATTAATTTTAACAGTGTGCTTGCTGACTGTAATGCCGTTGCATGTGGCAAAGGACAACCACGGTCGCGGGAGAACAGTAAAATGCATAAACGTAATGAGCACACTCATGAAGGAGCTCAAAGGAGTTTAGAATGCCACTTAAAGTATATGCATGTACACAGACACTAAAATATGCACAGTATATATGGATATTTTTTAAACTTTTATTAAGTGTGTTTTCACAACTGTGTGGGAGGGGTCAAACTACTATCAGAATTATGTATTTATTCTGTTTTTTGACTTTCACCTAATGTATGTGGGTCAGGAACATCTTCCAGGCGATAAGCGGAGTTCACTGTATTGACAATATGTATGGGGTACTCACCATGGAGAGGTGTTCGCTGGTTTTGGACGTGAACGTGTCTCCGCTTGCACAGTCGATGCCAAACAGAGCGCAGATGTCACCCGCATACACCTCATCTACATCCTGGAGAATTTTACAGTACGCAGAGAGAAAAGATGAGATTTATTGTTCAAGCAAAGCGGGAATGATCATTACCCAATCATATGGGACAATTTCTGTAGCTTGCACCAGTTGTGTTCAAATATCCATTGTTTGAAGATTTATAACGACTGCAATATCAATGCTTGTTTATGTTAGCCTTTCTATGACATTTTGACTTAACTGCTACCATGAAGCTAGCGCTTCTTGTACGTTTTGGGGTTTGGTGAAACTGAATCTTTAGTAAAGTTGAGGTGACACTGGCAACATGGAAACGTCGCCCAATAATGAATGGCTCTTACCTCCATCTGGTCGGCATGCAAGCGCACCAGCCTCTGCACACGCACCCTCTTACTGGTGCGTGTGTTGTAGATGTACTCGGCCTTCTTCAGGCAACCCTGATACACCCGCATGTATGTCAACTGACCAAAACGACCTGCCTGCTCGCGGAGAGACAGACAGGCAGACAGACAAACAAACAACAGTGTCAGAGAGACGGTATGTGGTGAGCGTATGGACGTGGAAATCAAGGGCTCACCTCCAGTTTAAAGGCCAGACTGACAAAGGGCTTTGCGGAATCCCGTGTCGGGTCCATTTGGATCTTTGAGCTCTCATTTGAATCTCTACGTTGTCGAAAATTGGATCGTCAGAAAATATGCAGCAATGGCTGCCGGTCATACAGACGAGTCCACGCTTACTCATCGTTGAGGATGGCGTAGTTTTTGACCTCGGTGGGGTTGGGCAGGAAATCAAGTATGGCATCCAGCAACGGCTGAACACCTTTGTTCTTCAAAGCGGAGCCTACTAACACTGGCGTAAAGAGACGCTGCACTGTGGCCCTCCGCAGGGCAGCCTGGCAAATAGTAACATCAGAAAAAAAAATCATATTCACATTTTCTAAAGAGAGTGATATTTAGTAAGTTATGTTAACATTAGATGGGGAAACAGTGTTGACTAGGAGTTGGAATTACAATGTTATAATATTGACCCACCTGCAAGAATAAGATCACAATGAGCGATTGTGTGATAATCAATAAAAACGATACAAGTCTTTCTGACCTGCACGTAATCAGATAAGTCCATGTTGGCGGCTGAAGATGCAGTGTCAAGTGAGAGTGTGAATTACATTGTCATATTTACCCATCTAATATATTGCAATAGAATCCAGATACAGTTGACCCCTGCATACCCCGGTGCCTGCGGATTCGCATATTTGTAGATTCCTCCCCCAAACCCAACCCAATATTTTGTTTTCCCATGTCCTTTTATCATGGAAATGTACTGCACTAGTATATTGAAACGTATATAGAATATTTAGCAGTGTTTTTTAAGAATTTATTGGTTTGTGTATGTGTGTGTGTACTCAATATAAATGTATCTGTACTGTATTAATTATTAAATCAAATACATTCTTTGCTATTATGAATGATAATTTAAAATAATGTAAACAAAAATCCCCTAAATATATAAGATACATGCATGCCTAACAAATAGTGTAATTGTAGTGCATACTTATGTGCAGTATCTTGAAGTGCTGTACCACACCCTTACTGTCTAGACATGCCTAAATACGGATAAGATAAAAAGATAACCCTTATTAGTTCCACGATGTGGATACTTGCACTGCTATTAGCAGGCTTAGCATTTAGCAATAACTCGTTTTTGCTGGACTCAAGCTCACCTTCTTCCCCACACAACACGCACGACAGACATAACCAACCTTCAAATCCTCGTTGGTCGGAACCTTTTCCTCCAGGAACATCTCTCCCAAGACTTCATCAGCATTGGCGACACATTCCACCAGCTCCTGTCTGCGGTCCGCAGCCTCCGCGCGGTAATCCGCCGGGATGTCATCGTAGCGGATGACTTGCCTGCAAATATGGAGATTTTGACATAGTGTTACGGCACTGAAAAAAAGGGTGGTATCATTTTATCTTGTTAATATTTCTTTTTTTTCCTCAAACTTTATTGTTTACCGAGATATTTACAGCTCTTGGTGTGTGCAATTACTTTCGCTATGCAGTTACCATAGAAAGCTGGTAAAGTCTTAGTTTAAGAGAGTTGCTAAACATTTCTCACATGAATGCTGTTGATAATGTTGATCATGTTTACAATAAAAATAAATACGGTCATCTTTTCGAGATCATTTGATGGCAAATGTTTCTTTTTTTTTAATCACTCAGACATACTGCTGTCTTTTATTATTTAGATTAGACCGACTTCTTGCAAATAATGAAGCAAAAAAGCTTTTTTTTTTTTTTTACCCAAAAGGTCCTTCGAAATACATGCTTCTCTCCTCTACAAGGTCGATAATGCCTTTCATGTTGCCCTCCAGGCCCATGGGGATGTTCACAAAGGCGGCGTTGTGATTCAGTTTGGTCCTGCAGACAATTGCAAAATGTTAATCAAAATCCAAGTTGGATTGCACGTGTTGTGACATAAGTCACCTCAGCTGCTGCAGGGCTCTGCCGGGGTTGGCGCCCAGGCGGTCCAGCTTGTTGATAAAGGTGAGGAAGGGCACGCTGTAGCGCTTCATCTGCCGGTTCACCGTCATTGTCTGACACTGCACTCCGCCCACGGCGCACAGGACCAACACGGCACCATCAAGCACACGCAGCGCTCGTTCCACTTCAATGGTGAAGTCCACGTGACCTGAACAACAAACGATAGACTTGTCGGGGTCATTTTGAGACACTTGCATTGTTTTCTGGCAGTGCCTAGAGCCACATTTCTTCAAGCCCACCCATCTGTTTTCCTTTCTTCTACCCTCCATCTGAAAAGCTTATGTACCTGGTGTATCAATGATGTTGATATTGTGGTCCTTCCACATAGTGTAGGTAGCAGCTGACTGGATGGTGATGCCCCTCTGTCTCTCCAGCTCCATGGAGTCCATGGTGGCCCCAACGCCATCTTTCCCCTTTACCTGAGGTACCACAGACACACGGTGAATACGTAAACCGTAACTTTATCAGCACTCAAATTGCAATCACTTCAACGGATGCGTTGCACACCTCGTGGATCTCCGCTATTCTCCCCGTGTAGTACAGCACGCGTTCGGTCAGGGTGGTCTTCCCCGAGTCGATATGCGCGGAGATGCCGATGTTGCGGATCCTCTCGTTGGGGACAACACCGGACGAGCACGATCGGCAGCTGTCGACGAGTACCTGGAGCAATGACACGGGGGACATTCAACCCTTCCATGATGGAATCCCATTACATAGCGGCTGACGCCAAGTCCCGCCATTCGCTAATTTGTTACCTTCTTGAGAGTGACGCCTCTTGAAGCAAGTGCATGCCGTTTCGTCAAACACAGGGCCGTATGAAGAAGTGTCATCTTGGTAAGAGTTTAGGTGGTCGGTCTCGTGCCTTTCCTCAACTCCCCAAGCAAACCGGTGAATGTCACACGGGGAGCAGGGATGGTTGTGAAACACGACTTCCGGATCTACGGAGAGTGCGATGTGTCAAAAATACAAAAGGCACAAGACGCTTCGCCGACAGTGAAATTTTTGCACCAATTTTAAAATAAATGATTACATTGCTTGGGGAAAACGTCTCTTAATAACTAATCTTGCGGTGGAAATGTATTTAATCATTTTTATAATTTAAACAATGAACGTTAAAATATATTGTATTAAACTCCTGCATGTGCAAAATTTTACATTTCCTGTTAAAAGTTTTTTAAACGTGTTTGGAACACAAATTTAATATTTTTATGAACAAAGGCCACGTGACCGTTTCGAAGGCGACTACCTTTAAATCACGTGACCAGAAATGTAACCCCTTTGCGTTTTTTCTTTTTAGTCGATTCCTGTAACTTTCTATGTACCCGGTAATATATATTAGGATTTTTTTTTTTTTAGAATCTCGAAACGTTACTGAATTTAACACGTCTAGGTTATTAGATTTTTTTTATGGATCCTTTTTCGGTGTTAGGTTAAGACAACTTGAAGCACTTTAAGGCACTTCTCTGTTATTGACAGGCGTTTCCTCTTTCACATTAACCGCATCGGCAGCCTGACATTCGAGGACAAAAGAAGGGCGCATTGCGGCTTCTTGCGCATGCTTCAGGCACGCCATCAGGCAACTTTTAAAAGCTGCCTACATATCTCCCTCTCGCACACTAGAATGACAACTCGGGTAAGTTGGACATTTAACTTTCACGTACACGCTTTTTTTTGCTGGTTTTTCGCGTTCATTTTTGTGCGTCAGAGTACTTTGAATTGTCATGGAAGTAAGATACGATTTGTATGGTTTAAAACTTCAACGCAGCTATAAATAATACAGGTGCATCTTATGATTTTCCAGTCTTGTTGAGAAGTTCATTTATTTCAGTCATCGTATTCCAAAAGTGTCATCGTATAGATTCATTCAGCACACCAAAAAAGTTGAAATAGTTTAATTTATTTGTGTGCCGAACAATGAATGACTTGTCACCATGTCTGCCTTATTTTGTAATGTGAGTCATAAATTTAACAAGAACAATGAACAAGTTAGAATGTTGTAAATAAAGACAATAGGGTATTTTACTTAAATAGCACTTCTCACCAAAATTACTTACACAATGCTTCGCATGGTGAGTCCAAAACATTTTACAGTGTATAGAAGGATAAAAAAACCAATCAAAACAATCAAGTTCAACTGGAAGACCTGCCTCAACAATTGTCTGTTGAGCTGCTTTTTAAAAATGAAGAGGCAGCTGTTAGGTCAAATAAAAGCTCTGCAAAGCTACATCACCGTTAGTTTATAATGTTGGCTGAGGGTCTCTCAATAGTGCATAACAGAATACAATATTACTTTTGTTGTAAAATATAAGTCTTCAAACTTGTGCAGCGTCTCTCCTCTATCTTGGACCAAACTATCACAATGTTTATGTAAACTGCCTGCTGTTTTGCCAGTAGTCTGTTGTTGGCAGTCTCCAGGTATACTGTACTGAATATGGATTCCACAGAACAGGAAGATAAGAATACCTCCCTCCTCTTCACATTGTCATTTGGTCTACAGAAGGTCCATAGTTTTATTCCCTCTCATTTCACAGTCCAACATGCTCTGTCAAGTTGTTTTCGATGAGAGAAGGGAACACAACTCAAGTCTCCACTGAGTTTGCCGGGTTGCTGAAATTGTATTCTCCTAATCACAGTATGTGTATGACACTTACTTTGACTGCTGTGACTGAAGGTTGAATGTAAACAAACAACTGATGTTTTCTACAATAAATAAAAGGGAGTAAGCAGATCGCAGTGACCTAACATTACAATAAAATGGCAAAAGTATGGAGAAGCCAGACCATTGAGAGCACTGCAAGTAACTACGTATATATTTTGTACTCTATCCATCAATTATCCTAACCGCTTCATCTGAATTCCTAAAATGAACACAGAGCCAGGGCATATATGACAGAATGAGAGTGATGTGGTTGAACCTATGGAAAAAGCCCACAAGTCCTAAGTCATACATTTACAAGCATAAAAAAAAATTAGGGTGAACTTGTAAGGTTGTGCGAATATTTATCTCTTTAAGTACCACCATAACGACTGACATTAAAATGCGGTTGCATAGAATGTTGTATTTGATGTATTCATCAAAAGCAAGACAGAAATGTTATTCCCTAAAAAGTATATTTAATATTATTCTACACCACGTTATGTGTAGTTTGAACCTCAAGACTTGGCTTAAGTACAGGAAAATGCTGTATTGCACAAATGATAGGATTTTCCTCGGGATGAGGCCACACATTTTTCCTCCAAACTGTCCTAGCATGAACTGTCACGGTCTTCATATCTTAAAAATGTCCTTGAAAACTCCCGACTTCTCCAAAAGTATGTGTAACTAGACTGTCTGTCTGTATGTGTTGCATGTACGACCTTGCCCTCTTCATTACCCAACTCATCATGAGTCATTTTTGTGGAATATTTTTAATCTTGATGACCTAAGAATGTGCGAATGCGCATATATTTGTTTCGTTTGCAATGAGCTGGTGTTTCCATTGTTATCGTTCCTGTCTCGTTTCCGCTGTGTGAACATTCCTTCCTGACTGCAGGGTGATTGCGGTATTGCAGTGAATGTGACAGAGCAGCGAGCACATGGATCCTGGAAGTGTTTTAACTCTTTCAGGATGTCTTTCAAACTGATCAAGTGCAGCTCCCGTACCCTGTGTGTGGACAGGTTAAAGTGTTGAGTTCTCTTGTTTTTTTCTCCTACGGTTATGATGACTTAATGTCATACCAATCGCAGTACTGTATTACTAGAATAAAGTTGTTAAATGGTAAAAGTTGCAAAAATTTGAATAAAAATGCAACATGCATAGAAAAGTGTAATGTCCTTAATTTTTTTCAAAGTTAAGTCAAAATGTTTACAGAAAGATGTGATTTTTTTTTTTCATGTGGAAAAAGTCCTATTGACTGAATGACAATGTATAATGACAAAGTCATAAAGTTAACAAAATGAAGTCATAAGACGCTGAAAACAGTTGACATTTGTGTAAAATAATCCCAAAGTCACGTGGAAAAAAAAGTTGCATTTTTACAAGAACATTTTTTGCTGATAAGAAAAAATTATTGGAAAAATCACAGTGGGATTTTTTTCCCACCCTCATACTGTGTCATGGGAATGAAGCCATTATTTATCATTTTTGACATAAATTGTCATATAATGAAATAATTTACGCATTAAGTCATGCCTTAAGAGCAGGAAGTCCTTACATTTCATCCATCCATCCATCCATTTTCTGATCCGCTTTATCCTCCAAAGGGTCCCGGGAGGTGCTGCAGCCTATCCCAGCTGCTTTGGTCAGTAGGCGGGGGACACCCTGAACCGGTTGCCAGCTACTAGCAGGGTACACATAGACGAACGACCATTTACGCTCACAATCACACCTAGTGACAATTTGGAGTGCCTAATCAACCTGCCATGCATGTTTTTTGGGAATGTGGGAGGAACCTGGAGTGCCCGGAGAAAACCCACACAGGCACGGGGAGAACATCTGAACTCCACACAGGGAGGCCGGAGCCTGAAATGAACCCTACATCTCTGCACCGTGAGGTCAAAGTGCTAACCACTCGACCACCGGGCTGCTGTCCTTATATTTTCAAGTGTAAAATCCAATGTTATGAGAAAAAAAAGTCAAAATATTATGAGAAAGATGTAATGTAATGTGAATTTTACAATATTATGGAAAGAAAGTCAATGCTAAAATAGCCTCTGGTTGTATTACGAGAATGAAGTAGTTGTATTACAAAACCAGCAGTCATTTATTTTAATAAAGCTTGATTATGACAACAAGAAAAAAGGTATAATGTATGAGATAAATTATGAAAAAGTCTTGAGCACGAGTAACGCTTTTATTCGGAAGAAAAAGGCCGTCACATTATAATCATGTGTTAAGATGAGGACCCGTTTTTCCCATTTCATATAAACTCTTTCCTTCATCAAAATATGACTTTATTCTTAAGTCTTCCAGTTTTCTTCATGTAATATTACCACTTTGTTCTTGTAACTTTTTCTCCCCAAAAATACAACAATAGTATTATGGGCTTTCATTTGGTTTCCTCCTCTTAGTGTGGCCATAATATTTTTTTATACTTTAGCACCCTATAGGTATGTCTTAGTTCATTTTCATTTCAATCATGGCTGCACACTTTCCACTTCCTGCAGTTCGTTTGACTATGGGTGTTATCGGATTGAATAATTGTCATTATATTCTCTCATCAAACTGACAAACAGTTGTTTATCCAGTTCCCTTTGAAAGAGGAATGCATTTGCTCACCAATTACTGCTGCTCTAATGGGCCTTCTGACTGCAGGTGTGCCTGTCATGATTCATACCCGTTTTCTCAAGAGTGTCGTCATGTAATCCAGGAGTACTGTATTTCAATGGCCTGTGCTTTGTCTTTTTGTAGCTCAAATACAGGTGAGTACATTGGTGCAACCTCCCAGTCTTGGCATGCATCAAAATTAGGCCAATTTTTTCTTATTGGGTAAACCTTGCCCTGCATTTGAATACTGTATCTCTAAGTGAATTGTAGTGGTTGGTTTTGAAAAATGCAAATTGACTTGCGTCATTGCCTAGAACAGAACCCTATCATGAACTTAGGACCCCCTGTACAATATTTGTCTTTGCATAAACATAGTTGACTTGGCGGTTGTGATTGTGCTTTTCTTTTACTATTGTTGGCAGCATGCTTTAACCATACTGTAATAAGCACCCAGGACAGAGACACATGCACAATTCCCATAGTTTCGACTTCTATTTCTACTAACACTCTTTTCTTGTTTACCTTCTATTTTTTTGAGGATGAGGGGGGTGACTTTAGAGACATATTTTGGGTCATTCATTTGTGCTATCTTGGAGGACAGCACCATTGTGCACCAATGTGGTTGTACCTGCCATGAAGTGGTACGGTGGAGACACACGCACAATTTCCATAGTTTTGACTTCTATTTCTACTAACACTCTTTTCTCGTTTACCTTCTATTTTTTGAGGATGGGGACATATTTTGGGTCATTCATTTGTGCTACCTTGGAGGACAGCACCATTGTGCATCAATGTGGTTGTACCTGCCATGAAGTGGTACGGTGCAGATACGCAGCCCAAGAAACGAAGCTCAGATGTGGTGGTTCTAGCAGCTTTTTGTTTGATTGGTTTATACGTATATTTATGCTCTCGAACAGTAATTCTCAGAGTGCGGTTGGGATAATGATGGCTTGGTGGCACATGAGCTCCGTTATGTAAAAGAATCACTGTTTGTAAATCATTTTGATGTCACTTTTATGCTTTCCTATAGTACATTATTCATGTTTAAATACAGTAATATTACATGTACTTTTAGGAATCAGAGTCTCGTTTTTGATGAGCACTCAGGCGTACTACGCTCTTGAAAATTTAAGTTGGTCATGATGGTGGTGCTTGGAGAGCTAACTATTTTTAAGTGGGACTGTGGAAAAACTTTTGAGTACCTCTGACCTATATTATTTTCCATACAAATATTTACCATGATTCTTAATTTGCGGTAGCATATAGGCTAGTAGTTTTGACTTAAATGGCGAGACCCAGTCGTAAACCGAGCTCCCCCAGTAATTCGTGTGAGTGCCAAAGTGAAGTGTCTTTTGTTGATGCTCGTCATTGCATTGAACAAGAGTTTGTGTGCTCCCACAGATGTGAGCAGTCTCCTCAAGCCAGACGAGGGGACTGAAGGACGGAACAATGTAAGCTTTTTTTTCCAGTATTGGACTGTATGACTAATGATGCGCTGTGTATGTTTAAAAGTCACGCTGCATTAAAGTTCTTTCGTTTAATCATCAGACTGAACAACCCAAGGGAGTGTCTCTGGAGTTATTCTGTTCAACGGCGAGCGAGATGGGCCAAACTCGCTCGGTTGTTTCGCCTTCACACGCCACCGCCGCCCCCGGCACAACATGTAAAGCAGACGAGGCGGTCCGGCGTCCTGATACACGTAGGCTAAAATGCGAAAGAAATCGTCTCACTCTTCGGATAAACGGGAACCCGATGAAAAGACAAGCGCTGTCGTGTCTGGGGAGGCGTAAGCGAGACTCAAGCCAGACGCGAGCGGAGCCGAGCTACGGAAGCGAAGCGGGGGAGCCAGCTGCCCGTCACGAACGACGAGAGGGAAAGTTACCCAGGGACGAGGCCGTATCGGCGGCCGAGGAGCAGCGATTCGCCGCAGATTCCTTGTTGGAGGCGCCGACGCCCGCCCGAGATGTGAGCGGGGAGACGACGGTTGGTCCAACCGAGAAGCCAGTTGGGGGGAGGCGGAGCGCTGAAGTGAACGCTGCGGGCTGCGTGGAGACGAGTACCACGCGGGAGGACAATGCCTCGGACCCACCGACGAGGGCCATGGAGTATCAGCCACTGGGGGAAAACAGCCATGATCGTTTAATGGCACCATTGGGAGAGTTGAGCCGGGATGAGTCTAACTCTAAGCGGACTTTAACAAGCTTACAGTCGGGCGATGGTGTTAATCAAGTGGCCGGTTCGATTACAATGACCCAAAGTGATTTAATTATCGTCCCCAGTCCCCCTGAAGACACAAACTTTGACTCTGACAAGCCCACCCAGAATCTCCATTATCGCGGACCCATACCAAAACTCATCATCACTCGGGACCCCAGTCCCACCCGCTCCGAGGAATCATCAACCCGGTTATGCCTCCGAACCGATGTTAGCACCGGGTGGGGCTCGGAGCTGCACCCGGACGACGAGTCTCCGTGCTCGGATAGCGGCTGCGGCGGGTCCCCGGCGCTATTGCGCTCTCCCAGGAAGCTGTCCAACTCTTCTTCGCTCGGCCTGTCGTCCGCCTCGTCCTTCGAGGAGTCCGAGGACGACTACACGGGCAGCGACATCGAGTCCAGCTTGTCTCCGGCTAGGTCCCTCTGCAGCCCGGACGACGTCACACCGGTGAGTGCCTTCTCAGTCTGAGCAATGTTGGTTTTCTTACGTGTTAAAGTGGATTCGTCAAGTTAAAATATTTGTGTTGCCCATGTGTTTTTACATTGAAACATATGGGGCATCACGGTGAAGTTGTAGTGGTTTGCATATACTGTATCTGACTCACGAATTTGAGGGTAAAGTAAAGATTTGAATGCCTACTGAGATTTTCCCTCATTGAAGACAAAAATAGTCCATGGTGCGTGACTGTTATAATATGAATGGTTGTAAGTCTATATTTGCTGGGCGATTGGCTGGCAACGAGATTATCTTGCATTCCAAATCAGCTGGGATAGGCAGCAGCTCACCTGTCATGAGGACAAGTCTTATCAGGGGTCGCGCTAGATCAGGGCTAAGGGGGTGCTATAGCCCTGTCAGAAATCTGTGTAGCCCCAGTTAAGCCCCTCTAGCATTTTATTTGAGATTCTAAATACATTTCGAAATTATTTTCTCTGCCCCCCTATGTATCGATGAAGAAGCCCCCTTTTTTACCTCCGGGAGAGAAAAAATCCTGGAGCTGTCCATGAGTGTGCTTGAAAATGAATGGATGCGTTGAAAGTTGAAACATGCATAATTGGACTCACATTCCCACACTATACAGTACGTGCAATGTCTCAGACATAGACTTGTGTATTTAATAGCCACTTGCACAGGTGTTGCATTAGCTCTAATGTGTATTTAAAAAAGTGGAAGGCATATGTATTGGTTGTGGAAGTGAAGCTTAGATGTCACGCTAATTAAACAGGGACACGCCAACAATGTCACTTTCATGACTTCCTCAATTATTAGTCTCTCAAGCGTGTCACTGTTGGCATCAATAAAGGAAGACCTTAGCACATTTTTCAACGCGGAGGTCCTTTACAGTACCATTGTAGTTGATTGCAGGATAGCCTGATTAGTATTATTTGTGTTATCAGCATTAGTGTGACATCAAAGTGTTTTTCTCTGATCATCAGCACTGACGCAAGCAGCAGCTTTTTTTCAGTAGTTTTGTTTTTAAATGCAGTTTTCGTTAATTATGAGTTTCATCAGGAGCAAATGTCCCTTGCGGATGAATGAAGTGTTTTTCTGTCTGTCTGTCTGCATGGCACCACATGATGCAGTAACGCATTTGTTTGTTTGTTTATATGCAAGTTAATGGTGAAGTGCACAGCTTACTTTGGGTGATGGAGGGGGTAGACCCTCAACAAGTCGTTGCTCAATCGCGGGTCACAAGCAACCATTTATACTCATTTTCATACCCAGTGTATGGACAATTCAGTCTTCAGTGACCTTAATAAGTATTTTTTTGGGATGGAGAGGGTTGATGAGGAAGGTGGCGTTTCGGCAGAAACCCAGAACACAAGCATGGGGTGGGGAGATCATTGCAAATTCTACACAGGAAGACCAGAGCAAAGATTCGAATCCAGAACCTTAAAATTGTGAGGCAGACGTGCTAACCACTTTTTCCACAGCTGCCCTGTTAAATAAACTACTTTCTCACCCTACTCACAAAAGGGAGGCTTGCTCGGTGAGTCAGCTGCTTCCATCACACTCACTCTTACACATTCTATCACTGTCTAGAAGAACTTCAAAATAATGGTATTCACTCTGTTGACGTGTAGCAGTGACAAACTTGCATTGTGATGACTATATCATTACCAGTGGCGCAACAATGAGTCAACTAATCAATTATCAAATGAATCATTATTTTTGATCATCAATTAATCATTTAGATATCTATTTTAATTTAAAATTGTCCAAATCCTTGGAATTTCACCTTGTCAACTAATAAATATTCTCTGATTTCCATCATCCTCCATGAAAGCAGAATCAAAATAAATCATTTGCTTTTTGGAAAGCAATGATCAGCATGGTTTTCGGACCAAATCGGATTGACTGACTGATACCTAATTAATGTATTTTTATGCATTTTCTGCCCTGTCAATTTGAAATAATTGTGTTTTTGAATGGATTAACACGTTTTTATTGTATCAGATTATTAGACAAAATAATCGAGAGATTAATCGATTCTAAAACTAATCATGAATTGCAGCTTGGTGCGTACATTCTGCTGAGTTCCATTTCTGGTTCTGTGAGTGTCATCACACTTCTCTCCCTTCACTGGCGCCGTTCTGTGGCGCCATTACAAGGGCTGCACCGACACCAATTTCAGTGTTGGTTCCAAAACTCTTTATATTTAATGCGTTCATTAAATATAAAGAGACCCATTTTTACTAACATGACATCATTGAAGTACGTTGAAACTTTAATACACGTTTGACATGTTTTGGGGTTTTTTTTATATTCTCTTTGGCAAATCAGCACTGTTGCTCTTTACCTCACATTTGTTTTGAAAAGCAACCACTCCCACGAAAGGCTCAGACGCCTTTCCACAAGAAGTACAGTTCATGTGTATTTTCCTTGAGTCTGGATATTTGGGAGCACTGTTCAGTAGAAATTCTTGGAATGACACTTCACTGGGGGGGAAAAGGGTCGACGAGAGGCAGCTTTCCCAAGTGTCCACCTGGTTGAAAGATAATACTTCTCCGCCTTACCCACAATTAAGAAGCCGTTCATCATCATGCTGTGTTTTCCATGAATCATAAATCTAATCAACGTTACTTCTGAACAGTCCACCCTCGTGTGGAATTTTAGTTTCCTCTTTTGCAGACTGAAAGTAAGACGGCTATGAGTCAGACAATCAACTTGTGAGAGGTTTAAATAGAGCCTCATTCATGGTAGGACACTGGCTCAGCCAAAACCCCTCCTCTTGGTTTGAGTCACTTTAGAACTCTTAATTACATAATTGCAGGATAGTTTGTTATAGGGGTGAAATGACAATAGTTTTTTCGTAGTCAACTAGAATGTGATCACAGTAGAGTGAAAGTCGATTCGTCGATGTCATTGATATCTTTTCAGCACTGTACAGCTGTCCCCCCCTGCACCTCAGACCGAAACATATCGTGACGGACTGGCATTAAAAAAAAAAGATAAAAACTACAACTCACTTCTATGTCGACTGTAGTTCTAATTAGTGGGAGTGCTGTGCATTTTCTCTCCAATGACTTTGTCTCAATTTGTGTTCCATGGCGGCATGTTTTGGAAGTCGGGCCATCGTGGCCAGGCTCCAATATATTCATCATTTCTCAATTTTCACCGCCTCAATATGACCAGTCGTGTGATTATACTTGCATATTTTCCAAATCAATGTGTTTCCGCTATCATTTTTGGTAAATTATTACCACACGTTTGCCGTGTTACAACACAAATTTGGAAAAAAAAAAAATGAAGTAGCATCGGTTAGGGCTAAATGATTTATTGTTTTGGGACAGAAATCGCCATCACAGACGATCCTGCACCTCTGCACCGTGAGGCGGACGTGCTAACCAGACGGGAATGCGGATCAACAACTAATAACAATTTGGCAAAAATAAAAAATAAAAAAATCAAAATGGCACACACACAAAATCTATTTTGGCATTAAAAATATCACTTTGGTTTCAGAACTTCTACAGTTCTTCAACATTAACCTTGACAGAATTACAGAACCCTTGCACTGGGTGCTCATCTGATGCATTTGTCGTATCTTATGCTTTTAGTTTGAGCCGCACTCAATGGCTCTAGCCAATGAGTGGATGCTGTCACTTACTGGCTATTTCAAATCCACAGGCAGGAAATGAGCAACCTGAGCCATTGTAACAAACAGGATGACGTGTTCTCGTTAGTTTCTGATAAGAGTCTGGGGTTTAATGGGCACATTGTGTCCTCTTCCTAGTTGAGTAAAAAAGCACAAGCAACCATTTATACTCATTTTCATACCCAGTGTATGGACAATTCAGTCTTCAGTGACCTTAATAAGTATTTTTTTGGGATGGAGAGGGTTGATGAGGAAGGTGGCGTTTCGGCAGAAACCCAGAACACAAGCATGGGGTGGGGAGATCATTGCAAATTCTACACAGGAAGACCAGAGCAAAGATTCGAATCCAGAACCTTAAAATTGTGAGGCAGACGTGCTAACCACTTTTTCCACAGCTGCCCTGTTAAATAAACTACTTTCTCACCCTACTCACAAAAGGGAGGCTTGCTCGGTGAGTCAGCTGCTTCCATCACACTCACTCTTACACATTCTATCACTGTCTAGAAGAACTTCAAAATAATGGTATTCACTCTGTTGACGTGTAGCAGTGACAAACTTGCAGTGTGATGACTATATCATTACCAGTGGCGCAACAATGAGTCAACTAATCAATTATCAAATGAATCATTATTTTTGATCATCAATTAATCATTTAGATATCTATTTTAATTTAAAATTGTCCAAATCCTTGGAATTTCACCTTGTCAACTAATAAATATTCTCTGATTTCCATCATCCTCCATGAAAGCAGAATCAAAATAAATCATTTGCTTTTTGGAAAGCAATGATCAGCATGGTTTTCGGACCAAATCGGATTGACTGACTGATACCTAATTAATGTATTTTTATGCATTTTCTGCCCTGTCAATTTGAAATAATTGTGTTTTTGAATGGATTAACACGTTTTTATTGTATCAGATTATTAGACAAAATAATCGAGAGATTAATCGATTCTAAAACTAATCATGAATTGCAGCTTGGTGTGTACATTCTGCTGAGTTCCATTTCTGGTTCTGTGAGTGTCATCACACTTCTCTCCCTTCACTGGCGCCGTTCTGTGGCGCCATTACAAGGGCGTAATGTGTAATGGCGACACCAATTTCAGTGTTGGTTCCAAAACTCTTTATGCACCGACACCAATTTCAGTGTTGGTTCCAAAACTCTTTATATTTAATGCGTTCATTAAATATAAAGAGACCCATTTTTACTAACATGACATCATTGAAGTACGTTGAAACTTTAATACACGTTTGACATGTTTTGGGGTTTTTTTTATATTCTCTTTGGCAAATCAGCACTGTTGCTCTTTACCTCACATTTGTTTTGAAAAGCAACCACTCCCACGAAAGGC